TTCCTGGGTCCATTTTTCCCCCTTTTTTGTAGATGGGAACTACATCAGCTCTTTTCCAGTCCTCTGGTAGTTCCCCTGTGCTCCAGGATCTTTGAAAAATATAGTTCAGTGGTTCTGAGATCATATCTACCAGTTCCTTGAGAACCTTGGGGTATAATCCATGTGGTCCTGGCGATTTGAACTTGTCTAGGCTGGACAGGTGCTCACTTACCATTTTCTTGCCTATCTTAATTTGTGTTTCTATTCTGTTTTTTATGGCACTATTTTTTGATAAGTTGGTCTGTTTTTTCCCTTTGTGTAAAGACAGATGCAAAAAATGAGTTAAATAGTTCTGCTTTCTCCCTGTTGCTTGTCACCTTCTTGCCACTTTCACCCACTAATGGACCAATCATTTCCTTCACTATTTTCTTGTTTTTTGCATGTTGAAAGAAGCTTTTTTTGTTATTTTTGACTTTGGTCACAAGCCTTAGTTCATTTTGAGCCTTGGCTTTCCTCACTTCATCTTTGCAGGCTCGGGCTATTTGCTGATATTCTGTGTCCCTCTTTCCATTTTCTATACTTGTCCTTTTTATCTTTCAATTTGTCAGAGAGTTCTTTATGCAGCCATGCTGGTTTCTTTTGAGAGCTGTTATTTTTCCTCTTTGTTGGTATTGTGCTAGACTGGGCTTTTGTATATTAAGGCTTTGCAGAGCTTTGAATTCAAAACCCAAATGTACTTTGGAATATCCAGAGTTGTGATATAGCACCTGTCTATAACTTTATAGGCAGCTGGGATTATGCTTCAATCTGTAGGTATCATGCAATCCTGAGTAAAAGTGCAACTCTTTAAAGAGCTAGAGACAAGTGCTATGTTTGTATCCCTGCATGCTCTGAAACACCAATTGTATTTGGAAATGAATCTGAAGTATACTGGTAGTATAGCTTATATGAAAAGAATAAAGCAAAAGTATTGAAGAAGCAGTTAGGGCATTAAAGAATCCATTAAATATATAGCTTATGCTTGGATAGAAAGAATGACAGAGAGCCTAATTTTCATGTACCCAATTAATAATGAGTAGAGTTTGGGAAAACATAGATGGAATTGTATCGACAGTAATAGCTGCCAGCATGTGGAGTCTTAAACTACAGACCTTTGATTTTAAAACTTAAAACAATAGAGAAATACGTCTTAACAATTCAGTATGTTGGAAATTGAGACTTTATGAGCAAAATTCTGTATTAGTGCTGAGAATTGCTATCTTACTGTATTTCTAAAACACTTTCTGATTCCCAAGGGGTGCAGTGGTTCAGCTATTAAAGATGCTGAGCTTGTCAGCTAGAAAGCTGACAGCCTGGGTTCAAGACCCAAGCACCGCACAATGGGGGAGCTCTCGTTTCTGCTCCAGCTCCTGCCCACCTAGCCATTTTGAAGCATGACAGATAAATAGGTACCACTTGGGTGGGAAGGTAACAGCATTCCGTACACCTCTGGCATATAGCCATGCTGGCCACTTGATCACAAAAAATGTTTTTGGACAACACTCACTCCTTTGGCCAAGAAATGGAGATGAACACTGCACCCTAGTGTCAGACACAACTGGACAGAGAAACCTTTACCATCACCTTTTCCTGACTCACTTATGAAGTTTGTCTAGGGGTGTTGACAGCAGCATTTTTCTCTCTTCCTGTTGGGCTAGTAAAAATCCTAACATGTTGCAATTATATTTGTAATTTGTGTCTCTGAAAGGAGGAAAATCAGGTTGTGCATGTTTCTGCATCATTCTTATCCTAATGATTGCTTGCTGCATCAGGATTTGCAGCTCTTAGGTGGGGTGGAGTAGTGTTCTAAATGATTGTTTCCCTCTCTTCCCAGTATACATTCTGGGAAATGGAAGCTATATTTCCAGTATACATTCTGGGAAGCCTAATATACTTCATATTGAAGATTTTGAAGGTAAGAGTGGGAGACTAAAGGGAAATATTTTTCATAGAGAACTGAAAATTTTGGATAATTCTCTATCTTCTTCAGAAGAAATGAAGAGAAAAAGAGAGAGAAATCTTTAGAAGCAGCACAGTTAATTTCTTCTTATTACTTTGGCTGCTCCCAGAACAGAAGTAGAATGACTTTTAGACAGGGAAACTTTAAAACTCAAATAAACAGATGAAAAACTAAAAATGAAATGATAAAGGTTTTTTTAATCTTTATATAGAATTATAAAGCTTTTATTTCCTGGCTTTGTTTTGCTTAGAAGAGTAATAGTTTTTGCAATTCATTTTTGAATTCTTGAGATTAGATGCCCAAATACTGGTAAATGCTCAAATGCTGCTTATATTCTCTCTCATTTGAATAATGTACCAGGAAAACTAATATTAAAACTTAACAAAGTTTCTTGATTCCCCAGTACTTTCCTCTTCATTTAAGTCTCCGATTAATTGCTTACTTGTTTTAGAGATCAATTCAAGTTAAGATTAGCTGCTGCTCTTCATATAAGGATAAAGGATAAATAATGTATTGTACAAATTATTGTATAAATAATGTATTATAATGTCATTTCATTAAACTATTTAGAAAGGAAAGTTATAAGTAACCTATCAATCAATACTAAATTTAGGAAGTTGAAGTAGTACAATTTTCAAAACAAATGTTACTAAAATGTCCATTCCAAGCAGCTGATTCTCAGTCTACAAAAGCTTGAGTACAAATGTGTAACATGTTTGTAATCTGTTCTTAAATATTAATGAAGTGGAATAAGTACCTTTATCGATATGGCACCGATGGAAAATTGTTCTTTAAATTGGTATTTTATTGTTATGTAAACAATTTATGAATGGGTTTTAATAAACAAATGTATCAGATTTGTTCTGAAGAAATAACTTTGTCAATTATCTCCTACATAAAATTGCAGTGGCATTAAAATCAGTTAAAAGAAATCCAACAGAGTAAAGGTAGTGAGCAAGCATTCTGTTCTCTAGAATTGTTTTCTCAGAGATATTGAAAGGAGATGAAGATATTTTAAGACATGAAAAAGCCTTTATTACACAGTTTTTAAGGGAGGATGTTACTAAAATTTGACTTAGTTTTTTCTAGGTGAAATATTTCAAAGTGCTTTGACATAGAATAAATAGAAACTATTTCTTTGAATGCTTAAATACTAGCAAACTGGGTAGTTTAAATAACATAAAGCAGAAACCAGAAGGAAAAGAAAATGTACATTAGCTATTCCTGAGATCAATTTTAAGTGCTGCATACAGGCTCAGTAGAAGCTATAGGGAATATAGTCTGCTGAATGGAGGTAATCTTTCATTCATAAGATATTTTCCCAGATGTTTGGATATTTGGATATTTAGTTATTTCCTTATATAGACAGAAATAAATGCAGAGAAAGATTTGACAACATCATTTCAACTCCAGCATTGGAATTTTCTACGTAATTTGAAAAATTCAGTGCCCTGCCTTTTTTACTTCTTTTAATGGCTGCTTTATCAATCAGCTAAAGTCAGCCTGATGTTTCAATAACAATACACTGAGTCATTTGCTTCAGTTTTTAATTGTGCTGAATGAAGAACATGAAGAGAAACTCTAGCTTATTGTCAATTAATATTAAATTATTCTTGGAAAAAGTAGTATCTAAGTAATAGAGACTATTCATCTGGTTACCCCTTGACAAACTACCCAGTCCTGTATTCCTTAATACTGTAAGTTTCAATGGAATTAAAACTTCATCTAAATTCCATAGATTTATTTATATATGTAAAAGGTGCTAAAACAAGTATTCCATATTATAGTATTTGTCCTTAAAGAATTAATATTTATTTTTTTTTCAAAAGGAGAAGGGAAGAATCTGGTATAAAATTGGGAGTTAAGAGATTGCATTGTTGGCTATGAAAAACAGATTGATGGATGTTATTGAAGGAAAAAAGAGAATAGATTGAAATGTGAAGAAGACACAAGGCGACAAATCAGGGACACTAGTTCTAGTCCCACTTTAGGCATGTAAGCCAGCTGGGTGACTTTGGATCAGTTTCTCTCTCAGCCAGCTTATCTCACTGAATTGTTGTAGGAAAATAGGATGAAGAAGGAGCATTAGGTATGTTTGCAACCTTGAATTATTTATAAAAATAATAAACTTAGGATAAAAATCAATAAATGAAATAAAAAATAAATTTAGTCAGAAGGAGTAAGCTGTCATTATCTTGATTGCTTTTTTCATGGCTTTTTTATGTCTTTGTCCTAATAAAGTTCTATTTTATAAAAGTTTTCAAAACTGCTTACTGAAGATTAGTCTCTTTAAGAGCTATTCACTATCAAGTTTGTCCACATTCAACAAACACTTACCTATTAATAAAAGAATTTCCTATTATACTGTAAATAGGGAGAACTTTTTTCTCATCCTAAGATAGGCGAAAGAGGTTTATCTAAAAAGAAAAAAAACACCCTACTATCTCAGTGAGATACTTCTTGAATACCTGAGTAAACATCTGGCCTGAAAAGGGGCTGGAGTTCCAGGGATCTAGAGGAAAGTGACTTGAGCCAGGATCTCAAGGGTTTTCCCACACTTTCAATTTTCCAATTTCTTCCCCTTCTCTTGAATAAATGGATATAACTGCTCTTGTCCTATTGTATTGTTTGCATCACAGCAATATTCAGGAATTGCAAACGTAGTATGTCTAAAAATAGTTTCTGTATGTTTCTGTGCCATCAAGTCAGTGTTGGCTCCAGTTTGGTTGGCAAGATTTTCAGAAATGGTTTACCCTTGTTGTTTCTTAGGGCTGAGAAACAGTGACTGGTCCAAGATCACCTGGATGGCTTCCTGTCAAAGGTGGGACTAGAAGTCATGGTCTTCAGGGTTCTAGCATGGTGTCTTAGCCATTACACCACACTAAACATACTATACAGGTTTATATCTAAACATGCTATACAGGTTTATAATTGTAAAGTCAATATGATAAGAGCCTGGACCTTCAAACTAGTTCAGTTTAGATATTGCTACAATCTTGTGATATATTTTTTCCTTTGGTAGGGTGAAGCAAGACTTGTGGCAAAGCGTGCAGCACGAGCTGAAGCACGGGAAATTCGGATGAAAGAACTTGAGAAGCAGCAAAAGGAGGTATGTGACAGCTTTTTGAATGAATTCTGAAGTACAAGAGTTTCTTGATATTTGGGATAAAATAGATAAATTATTGTTGTAAGTATCATACTTAGTGTCTATTGCAAGAATGTTATGAAATTATCTCTTTATATATGAATATATATAAACATATATTCACATTCATTTGTAAAATACATGTAATTGCTTTTTTGAAAAAAATAAAAGCATATTTAGAAATAAAATGCATTTAGTTCTTCCTACTTGAGGACTTTACTTAACAGTTTATTAAGGAATGCAACTTAGATGAAAACTTGTTGATTATATGTACAAAATTGGTGCAATGATTTAGATCAATGAAGATGTCTACTTTATAAGATAAGGTAACAGTTATTGTCTCTTTTTTCAGTGAACAGACAGGCATGCATTAAAAAAGAAATTCTGATGCTCGCTCTGAAAAGAAAATATATATACATATACAAATATGCACACACATAAACATATTATATATACGTATGTATATTTGTATGTATGTATATGTATACGTGTACGTATACTTAGTTGATAAAACAGTTTGACATGGGAGAGCATGCCCAGAATTGTGATCGATTGGAGCAGCCAATTCACAAGTTTCATAGATAAATAAATGACCTCATCCAGATCTAAAGATGGAATATCTTTGGAACTAGATAGCTTCTTCACCCAAAACTACTCTGTTTTGCTTGGATTGATCCTAAGCTTGTTTTTCTCCATCCTGATTCTAACAATCTTTAAACATTGGGGAAAATGACAGTTATTTTACGTAACAGTGTAGAACTTCATTACATTAATTTTACTTAAACATATTTTGTGTGGTCTATTTAAAATTTATGTGAGTTGAGACAGTGAAGATGAACATGTGTGAAAGTTATCCTTTAACAATTGTGTAGATGCTGTCTTTCCCCCACTTTATTTAATCTTACTGTTGTAGTTACTCTTCTGATAGTGGAATCTTTAAAGTTTTTTTAAAATTTCATACGTCCATCCAATTATAAGCCCAGAAAGAATGGCCAGAACTCTGTTGGTATGCCACCTGAGAGAACTGTCTTAAAGGAAGATCCTACAACAAAATCTGATCTTCCTGAAGCTTATCACTTGGTAATTGATCTGGGTCTAATAACCCAGTTGGGATAGCTGTACCAACTTAGTATCACAACAATCTCAAATATCTAGGGAAAAGAGTTGAGAATTCCCTCTGATGTATTATGAAACTCTTTAAGGCAGCATTTCTAATAAATTGTTTCTCCATAGGTTTTCTTTTACGTGTTAATGTAGAATAGAAAAGCACAGTAATTTATGCTGATCTTGACACTATACTTCTGTTTTAGTAACCTCAAAGTACATTTGGTTTATTTGTAGCTGCATGTTCAGTTAGTGATCCAATATGATCCTCACATTTGTTTTACCTGGGAACTATATTCTACACCCATGCCTTATTTTTTCCTTCCCAAATATATTATTCTCTAAGATATTCTATAGTTTTGTATTATCCAAAGATTTGCTGATTTGGTTAGTTCGGCAGTTCAGTTCTCACCGGCTCAAGGTTGACTCAGCCTTCCATCTTTCCGAGGTTGGTAAAATGAGGACCCAGATTGTTGGGGGAAATATGCTGACTCTGTATACTGCTTAGAGAGTGCTGTAAAGCACTGTGAAGTGGTATATAAGTCTAAGTGCTATTGCTATTTGTTGACTATGATTTTTTAACCAGATCCATAACCATCTAACAATAGCAGATGGTGCCCACGTTTTGCCATTTTCTCTGCTAGAATCTCATGGGAGTATTAGATGCTTTTCTATAGTCAAGACTTACTATGACTATCATATTTTCATGCTCAACCAAATTAATTAATCAGTGAAAAAAAAGAAATGTTACTTTGGTGTGAATTATAGTCAGTTCTTCAGGGGAAACCTTTAGGAAGTTAAAAATACAGTTCATTTCTGATCCTGGAAACAGAGCCTTCTGAAAGCTAACTGGTTTCTTTCACTCATGGAAAAAGAAGATTCACAAAATCTTAGTTTCTGAATATGAAAGTTCTTTTATTCTTAACTAATTTCCAATAATGCATGTGTGCATACTCTCAAGCTCCTTATTGGTTATATAAAATAAAGACGTTCAAAAGAGATGCTTTGTACTATCACATGTATAGCCAGTGAACATTTTAAACAGAGACATACTAATTTAAATGATGTAACAGGCATTTGTCATGCTAATTAAATTTAAATACAGAATACTTAAATTTAATTAGCATGACAAATGCTGATTGCATTTAACTAAAAAGAAGGTTTTCAATATTAGAACCTGCAGAAGTAAAAATTAGAAGAGAAAAAGGAGAAAAAGCAGATGTTGATGTTAATGTAGGTTTAGCTGAAGACAAGCACTGAACAATTTAGTACAACATTATACTTGTTTCATCTTACATTTTGAGAAAAATATACTGGGAAATCTGTTTTGGGTTGTATCAGCTTTGTAAAGCTTTACAAGACAAATTTCACGATTATATTTACTACTGAATTTTAAGTTAGCGTTTAATGAGAATGTGATAGGAGTTTCCTGTACTGTTATTTGGAATATGAGTATATGGATATTGGGTGGGGATTGGTAATTTTGTATTATTTGTGTAGGGTACAGATCTAACTAATACTTATTGTTATGCAGTAGATGCCCTCTGTAGAGAAGAGTGTTCATTTCAGCCTTTGACAGTATCATATTATATCCAAAAACAATTTTAAGTGCATTTGTCAGAATCCAATTATATTTCATTTCTAGTTATCAACCCCATTTCTGCCCTCTCTGGATTCTGTCATACTACGAAGGGGAAGGGGAATGAGCAAAGGGGTTTTATGGCTCTCACTTCCTTCATTAAACTTCAAAGGGACTGAATGTGGATCTCACCAAGAGGACTGACCATAACAATATGGCCATCACCTTTCATCTACTACTTTCTGAAGTCTCTCTTCTGCCGGGTGAGGAAAAAGGGGTGGAAATGTAACGCTTGGGATTGTCGCTGGAAGGACAGTGGGGTGGGGGCTGCTTAGGAACACTTAAAACCTTGAATGGTAGGGGTTGGCCCCTCAGATCCTGTATAGAACACCTGCAACCATCTTCTCTTAATAAAGATACCTGTTGGAAGAGATATTCCAAGAGTTCTGTCTTCTTAAGATGTAAAGTGGGGTGGGTCCTTACAGCATTACAAAGTCTATCTCTTATTTGACTTTTGCATTTTAGAAGTGTATTTCATCCCTGTTTCCTCATTTACTAGCATCTAGGAAAAGTGCATTATATAATGGGTGTCCTGAAAAAGCTTGCCTTGATATGTTGCTTCTTCTTTTCCTCTTCTAGCAATTACAGATCTATCAGGTTCAAAAGGTAGGGCTTTCCTAGTCTACAATGAAATTGCATGCTTCTCCAGCATGATGGATGAAGAATCCACCAATGGGTTATTTCAGTCCTCCTGCCCAATCAGACTAGGTTGTCAAAGTTGTCACGCCCGTCCTTGCCTGGTACCTCCCAGTTTCAACTTAGTCTGTTCGCCCATGAGGATGTGATAACTTAGACTCCCAAATTCGTTCTTCTGGCAGGTTTGATTTAGATGAAACTATTTCCCTTTTCTACCCATTAGTGGATTCTTCTTGACTGGAAGATTGGAGTTTACACAGCCTCTGATTATTCCCTTTACAGGGGACTCTGTCCTCTGTCCTTTTAAAAAAATTTCCTTCCTTTTATCAGGAGTTCAGATAGCTATCTGGGGGTTTTTTTCTCCCTTTGTAGCTCAGCCAGTTAGCTGAGACCTTCCCCTTAGCTGAGGAACTCAGCCCGTCTTCGGGGGAGGTTTTCCCCTAAGGCACGCAAGAGCTCAGCTCACGATCTCAAGATCGGCTTGGCATCTGGCATTTCTCCCTCAGTCAGGGCCAAAACTACTTGCGGTCGCCATTTTGGAGCCGTTTGGCCGTCAGCGACTTGCTGAAGCTTGACCTCATTCAAGCTGACAGGCCAGAATTAACCGTTCTAGTGAGCTTTGCTGTGGACAGAAAGCCTACCTTATAGTACATCACTTCCTACCAGCTGTCTTTCAGCCACAGAGCCTCCACTGCTGCTGGAAGGCGCCGTTACCGCCGATGTGCCTCTCAGCTGTTTGGCGCAACAGCAGCAACCTAAAGACTAAAAACTGGTTACACAGGGGATGAAAATATCTTAAGCACGTCTCTGCACGATCAAAGCTAAGCTACCCGATCGCCTCAGATTCTCGCCCCCCCCAGGGCCTCTATCCCGGTAGTGCGGCTGCCATTTTGTGGCGCAGCAAAATATTCCCTCGAGAAATAGGCGGTGTGACAGAGGTCAAGACTAGCGCGTCTCTCATCTCACCAAAGGGGGCAGTTCATCAAGGCCGTTCTCCCTTGCCTCACTGTTGCGGGCACCATTTTGGTTGATTTTGCCGGACGGCAACCTCGACACTCGTGGGCCCAGACCACCACAACAGTATTAGGCCATAACAGGCACCTGATTTTTGACCAAGCAGACCCTAAAGTGCTGGTAGAGTCTAGGCTAGGCATCTCAGATAGCCATTCACATAGGACCATCGTTTAATCTAGCAGTCTCTTTTCTCCCTCTTGTCACCTACGAGCAATTCATTGGCTCCGGGCCTTTCCACTTATACCTCACACACCTTAGCCTTCTGCCTCTCTGCATCCAGTGGTTGCTTCTTAAAACCTGACCATCACCACTATGTGAGACACGTGAGATCTAGTCACTCAATTGGATGTCCCTGTGACTGCGCCTTAACACGCACAGCGTGAATCCGGTTTGGCCAGTAGACCGGACCATGCTGATCCACGTGCACGTCAGCCCCATCGCGGTGGGCAACTGACGGTCTCTTGCAGATCGAGATCGCCTTCAGTGATCGCTGGGATCCTTCTTGGTTAACATGGCAGAAAACACTGAGTCACAGGCTTCGGTTTCAAGCAGGCAACTTAAGCGCAAGTCC